GGCGGGGGCGGGGAGTGAAGGAGGATGGCAGAGGGCAGGAAGAGATGGGGGAAGAAGCGCTTAAGCTAGGGGTGTCCCAGGCTCACTAGCGTGGTGGGCCAGGAGGAGGGCCGCTGGGACCCCTGAGGAGGTTCAGACTAACCCCCTGCTCCCGTCCCCAGGAACGCCGACCTGTCCATCACCCTGGGCACCTCGCTGCAAATCCGGCCTAGCGGGAACCTGCCGCTGGCCACCAAGCGCCGGGGCGGCCGGCTGGTCATCGTCAACCTCCAGCCCACCAAACACGTAGGTGCCCGAGCCCACCCCCACGCCTAACTGGGTGCCTAAATGCCCTCTGACCCGCCTTCGTCCCCGCAGGACCGCCACGCCGACCTGCGCATCCACGGCTACGTCGATGACGTCATGACGCAGCTCATGAAGCACCTGGGGCTGGAGATTCCCACCTGGGACGGCCCCCTCGTGCTGGAGAGGGCGCTGCCGCCCCTGCCCCGCCCGGCCGCCCCCAAGCTCGAGCCCAAGGAGGAGCGCCCTGCCCGACTCAACGGCTCAGCGTCCCCCAGCCCCGAGCAGGAGTCACCCGCCCAGCGCAATGGCTCCGGGCACGCCAGCCCCAAGCAGGAGTCACCCGCCCAGCGCAATGGCTCCGGGCCCGCCAGCCCCAAGCAGGAGTCGCCCGCCCAGCGCAATGGCTCCGGGCACGCCAGCCCCAAGCAGGAGTCACCCGCCCAGCGCAATGGCTCCGGGCACGCCAGCCCCAAGCTGGAGTCCCAAGCCCAGCGCAATGGCTCCGGGCCCACGAGCCCCAAGCGGGAGTGGCCAGACACCCCTCCCCTCCGCAGGCCCCCGAAAAGGGTGAAGGCCGAGGGGGTCCCCAGCTGACCAGGGTGCTCGGGGATGGGGGGGCTTTTGTAAAAAACTGTGGATTTTCGTTTTTCTTACTGGTCTCGCTTTGTTACCTTTATCTGGCCTCCGGGGCCGCGGTGCGCTGAGAGCTGGGCTCCAGGCCCTGGGGCCGACTTGCTCTCGCGGTTCCGTTTGCTCAGGGGCCTATGGTGGGGGTCTGGAAAGGAGCACCCCCTCTCCGACCCTGACCCCGGACCTGACACCGCAGGCACCTGCTCCTCCCTCCCAGCCTCAGCACATTCTAGGGAGGTGGTGGCCGGGCCCTCAGTGGTTTCCACCCTGTGCCCCTGGGTCTCCTCGTAACCCTCACCACCATCAGCCCCCTCCTGATCTGCCTCCCCAAGGCCTTTTTCACAGACCTTCAAGGAGGGCAGGGAGGTGGAGCCACCATTTGGGGGCCCAGGCCTGGGGGTGGGGGGACAATAGGTGCTGCACTGCCGTTGGGGCTGGAGGGAGAGAGCTGGCTCCCTCCAGGTTCCAGAAAAGTCGTCAATGCAATAAAAGCAGAACTAACTTCTCGCATTGGAGTCTGTGTTTAATATCCACGACGTCGTGCTGGGTCCTAGTTGATGGTGGGGGGAGCAGGGTCGTGGTCCCCTCTCTGCCCCTGCTCCTGATGCAATCCTGCAGCCTGGGGCTTACCCCCAGGGTCAGGTGAGTTGTCAATGGTAACAATACCAGCAGCTGGCATTTCTCAAGCCAACCCGTTTGTAGTTACTACTTATTTGCATGGTTTCTTGTTTGAGATAAGCCCTCTTTTAAATAGGCTGCCAACCCCTTGGGAGAGGGCGGCTTTGTTTCAGCTGCACCTGCACACAGCGGGCGGGCGAGTGATGCGTTAGGAGCAGAGCACAGCCACCAACGGCGTTGTTTGCCCTGAGACCAGGAGAATTAGATGGTGCCCGGCTACTACCATTACTGAACGTTTTGATCAAAGATTCTACAGAAGAATCTTGATCAAAACGGAGGAAATGCAGAACAGAATTTCCAATTCTCAGGACTCTAGACTTTCTGGAGCCATGGAGGCTGAATGAAACCCACCACCCTGAAAATACTGCCCTGAGGTAATCTTTAAACCTTAAACCAAAAATAGCCCCTGAAGTCTTAAAACAAGAATTTAACTTAATAGTAAAGAATGTCTGCCTTGAGCATTATGCTCTTTTAAGAACAATCGGTATGAGATCAAATTGACAACAGCACCTCAAAAGGTCAGATGGGAAATTTAGGGGGCAGTGACTTTATGTTAATGGGGAGGAACAATTCTAAAAAGGGAGGGCGAGAATGGTTGCACGACTTGAAAAACGTAATCAGTGTCACTGAATTGTACAAGTAGAAATTGTTGAATGGGTGTCTGTTCTGCTGTGTATATTCTCAACAGCAACAAAAAGTATAAATTAAAAAAAAAATAGCAGAGCCCGGCGCCTTCAGGGCTCCATCCCTTACCCCTGTGTGATCTTTAGAGGGTCTTCCCTTCCACCCCTCAGTTTCTTCCTACGTAAAACGAGCAGGGTGTGAAGCCCAGCCTTCCCAGAAAGGCTGCTGCCTTAACCCCGCTTCGGGCACCCCTTAACTTGAGGCGCCCCTTGGGGACACACACCCGCTGGAGCCGCTGGGCCTCGCGCTCCAGGCGCGCCTGCGCTTCGCCGGCGAGCGCTCTCCTAGGTGCTGAAGTTGAGCCGGACGCCTTGGCGGCCGCCGCTGCAGCCTAGAGATCCCGTGCACCCCGCACCTCGCGTCCCTTTCCCGGGCTGGCCCAGCCCCTCCGGGGATTGGGAAGCCCCGACCTCCACTTCAGCCCCCACCCTCTCCTCTTCACCGCCAGCCACGTCTGTCAAAATACTTTATTAGGGGTCACAGCAGTCTTAAAAAAGGGGGGCAGTTACGGGTCAGCAGCTCCAGAGTCCAGAGCTCACCCATTCTCTGGGGCCAGGATCCCTGCAGCCTCGGGAGGCAGGGAGAGGTCGGGGGTGGGTGGGATCGCTGAGGCATCTAGTGTGTGTGTACGTGAGTCTTTATGTATATATGTATAGTGTATTCCTGTGTGTCGGGGTGTGTATCTGTGTGTGTATGAAGAAATATATGTCTATGAGTGTTTCTGTGGGTGTCTGCGTTTGTGTCCGTGTGTATTTCTGCGTGTCTGTGCATCTGTGAGTATATGTCTGTGTGTGTGCAACTGTGTTTCTGTGTCTGTGTGTATAACTGTGTGAGTGACTGCCAGTTTGTGGGTGTTCATGAATGTAACTGTGTGTGTGTCTGTGTAAGTTATGTGTGGGTCTGTGAGTGTGTGTCTGTGTGTAACTGGGTGAGTGTGTAACTGTGGGTGTGTGTCCGTACAAGTTTTTAATGGTGTGTGTGACTGGCTTTGTCAGGGTGTGGCTGTTCGTGATGTAACTGTGTGTCTTTGTGCGGCGCTGTGTGTGTGTCTGTTATGTGTGTCCTCAGGGTCTGTGGCTCAGTCCACACGGGACTGCCTGTCTCTCTGCTCCTGGGTTCCTTGGTGTATGTCTCAGCCATTGTAGCTGTCTTTGCCCTGTGTCTCTGTGTGAGTCGCCGTGTGTGTCCTTCCGTCCCTGGGTGTGTAGCTTGGGTATCCCCTTCCGGGCATCTCTGCCGCGGTCTCTGCCTCACCTCTGGTCCAGTGCCCATCACTGTCCACTGCAGGTCCCTTGGCAGAGGGGCGTGGGGCACGGTCCTGGTGGTGATCACAGCTCCTCTCCTCCCGCCTCCAGCCCCAGGTGCCCGGGCCTGGGCCCTGTTTCAGGCGCGGCCCAGTCCAGCAGGGCAGAGGGGCCCAACACCTCCTCCGAGTTGCCCAGCACCAGGGTCGAGTTGCCCAGCACCAGCGTCGAGTTGCCCAGCACCAGCGTCGAGTTGTCCAGCGCCGTGGTAGAGTTGCCCAGCACCAGCGTCGAGTTGTCCAGCGCTGGCGTGTCCCTGGAGGCCCGGTCTGGCCCAGGGCTGCCTGGAGACGCTTCTTGGGGTGGGGCAGCCTTGGGTCGGGGTGCTGGGGCCTCGGAGCCTGGCGCAGTGTCAGAGGCCACGCGGGACGCGGCGTCGTTGTGCAATGTTCTGGAGAAGACTGGGAGAGGGTTGGGGGGTCATAAGGGGCAGGGTAGGGGAGGTGTCCTGCCTCTCTTCCCCCACCCTCCAACCACAGGGTACACTGGGACAGGAGTCTCTTCTCCCTCCCCCAGGGGCCCAAGGTCGTGCCCAGGTGCCTTCAGGGATTTCGAAGGTGGGGCGTTCCAGGCCCACCTACCTCGCACAGCAGCGAAGTCCCCGGGGCTCTCTGCTTTGTTGGGGGCGAAAGGGCTGATGGAGGGGAGGACGATGAGGGCGAAGGAGAGCAGCAGGACCTGGTGGGGTTGGGGGCGGAGTCACCTCATCCGCCCCCTTCCCCTGTGAGCATGCGCAGCTCCTAGGCAGGGAAACTGAGGCCGGGACCTGGCTGTGCTTGAGCTGGGGTGTGAGGCTTTGCTTCTACTCAACTCCCCTCCCCGCTTCGCAGAGACCTGGGACACCCACCGCCCCCGTCCCGGGTGCAGCTGGGATGCAGGCCGGGACTCACCGCTATGCAGGTGCCGGACTGGGCAGACTTGCTGGTGGACTGGACCACGAGGGCTTGGAGTTTCTTCAGCTGCTCCAAGAGGGACCTTGGGAGGACAGGCAGACCTCGGTTAAGCCCTGTAGGGCCTTGGTCCAGCTTCCTGCCCATTTCCGGGGCCCCCCAGCCTCTCTGGTGTCTGAATTCCGCCCACCTTCCACCCACCCCTTAGCTTAGACAAATTCTTCATTGGACATTTCGCCCACTTTTCTTCCACTCTTGCTTCCCCTATCCAGGTCACCTGGACACCCTCCCCTCCAGGCCTCTCCTGCTCCCTAGAGTTCATACTTCACACAGCAGCCAGGGGGCGCTTTTCAAATGTAAATCCGCCCCTCCCACTCCCAGCTCCCTATCCTCCCAGGGTGCCCACCTCACTCCAGGTAAAAGCCCAAGTGTACCGCCAGCCCCCCTGTGACCTGCCCATCACTTTCCTGCCCTCCTCCCCTCCCATTCCTCCTCTGCTCCAGCCACCCGGGCCTCCTTGCTGTTCCTCTAACCCAGAGGTACAGTCCTGCCCCAGGGCCTTTGCACAGGCTGTTCCCTCTGCCAAGCACACTGTTCCCCCAGATCTTTGTGTAGCTAGTTCTTTCTCATCCATGCGGTCTCAAGTGTCCCCTCCTCCGAGAAGCCTTCTCTGACCTCCCTGTTGAAAATAGCCCCCATCACTCTCCAGCCCTTCACACTGCTTTGTCTTTCAAATGTCTATTGCTATTTTGAATTATCTTTTCTGTATTTTTGTATTAAGTATGTTTCCCACTGGACCATGAGTTCTTTAAGTTGGAGGGACTAGGTCTGTTTTGTTCACTGAAATGGATGCTTTAACCAACACCATGATAAACAGAGAAAAGATTGAAGTTGTCAAGGATTTCATTTTACTTGGATCCACAATCAGCGCCCATGGAAGCAGCAGTCAAGAAATCAAATGACGCATTGCATTGGGCAAATCTGCTGCAGGAGACCTCTTTAAAGTGTTAAAAAACAAAGATGTCACTTTCAGGACTAAGATGTATCTGATCCAAGCCAAGGTGTTTTCAACTGCCTTATATGCATGTGAAAGCTGGACAATAAATAAGGAAGACCTAAGAAGAATTGATGCCATGGTGCTGGTGAAGAATATTGACTATACCATGGACTCCCAGAAGAACGAACAAATCTGTCTTGGAAGCAGTACAAGCAGAATGCTCCTTAGAAGCAAGGATGGCGAGACTTCCTCTCATATATTTTGCACATTATTAGGAGGAACCAGTCCCTGGAGAAGGATGTCATGCTTGGTAGAGGGTTAGTGAAAAAGAGGAAGACCCTCAACGAGATGGATTGACACAGTGGCTGCAACAACGGGCTCAAGCACAACCACGATTGTGAAGATGGCGCAGGACCAGGTGGTGTTTCGTTCTGTTGTACGTGGGGTTGTTATGAGTCAGAACTGACTTGACAGCACCTAACAACATGGATGCTTCGCTATTGCCCTAGGTGGCCCAAACGGTTAGTGCTTGACTACTAGCTGGAAGGTTGGTGATTTGAACACATCCAGAGATGCCTTGGAAGAAAGGCCTGGCAATCTGCTTCTGAAATGTCACAGCTTTGAAAACCCTAGGGAGCAGTTCTACTCTGCACACATGGGGTCAGAATCAACTCGGCAGCAACTAGTCACAACACCAAAATGATCGCAATGCCCAGAACTATTCCTGATGCGGAGCAGATGCTCTAGAAATATTGACTAAATAAATACACCCTTAGATAGAATCACTTGCTGTTCTCCAACACATTATGCTTCTAGCCTCAGGGACTTTGCACATGCTGTTTCTTCCACCAGGAGCAGGCTCCCCCAGTGAACTCTTACACATCCTTCAATGCTGCAAGTCCAAATCCCCTCCTACACTGCAGCTTCCACTTTCCTAGAGTCACAAGCTGTTCCTCCCTGCTCTGCCCTGCCACCACAAGGCTCTCCCCACATTGTCCCCCTCTCCTGTGAGGGACTCTAGGGTTGGCCCTCCCTGCCCTCTGCCCTGGAGAGATCCAGACTCACAGGTTCTGCTTCTCGAGATGTAAGACTTTCCTCTGCAGCTCCTGGTTCTGGGTGGTGTAGGCGGACATCCTGCAGAGACAGTGCCACGGTGACAATCAGAAGTTGCCTGACACCAGCTGGCCCAACTGGCATCCCCCTGTGAGGGAACCCGGGGCTACAGAGGGGGAATCACTGGCCCAAGTTCACCCAGAAAGACTGTGACAGGGCTAGCATTTGAATTGAGGTCTGCCTGGATCCTAGGTCTCATTTCTGCGTTGGTGTGGGGGTTCGACTCAAGCCTGAGGCTCAGGGTTGGGAATGGAATGCCCAACGCAGGCAGCAATGGTTCCAGAAGATGAAATAGCAGAGTGATTGGGAGTCCGAGGAGACCTGAGTTATAATCCTGACCAGCCCCATGACCTTGAATCACTCCACTTCTCTGACCTCAGTTCCCTCACCTGTAAAATGGGGAGACAATTACTGAGCTCATGAGGTGGTTGGGAGAATGGCATGAGATAAAATCCATTAGGGGGTTAGCAGATCGCACTTAAGGAACAGGACAATAGGAGTCATTTCATCTAAGGTCCTGGGGTCCAGGCTGGAGACCCCACTTCTCTCTTCTGCATCCATCTTGAATGTGGTCTTGGTACAGACTCTTCAAATGTGGGGCTGAAATGCTCAAATCAGAAACTAAGATACGCATGAGGTGGGCATTGGGCCAGGTTTCTACCCTCAAAGCAGAAGGAGTGGAATATGGGAGACTCAGATGTGAAGCCAGAGGCTCTCGCTGTGTGTCGCATACATGAAACCTTTGGACAAATCCCCATCTTGAAGCTTGAGACTCTTGGATCTACCATACATTTGTATTTTTCATGGGATTATGTGTTTTGTTCTCCAGGAAGGTGCAGAGGGTTCTGGGATCACTTTCCAGAAGAACCAAACATATAGCAACCAGGGAAGAGAATAAATTCCCCCTGAATGACCCTCCTTCTAAATAACTCATGGGACAAAGAGGAATTCATAATATAAATTAGGGGATACCTAAGGACCAAAGTATAATGATAGTAGTACAAATAAAAATGCATAGGATGCAGCTAAAGCAGTATTGAGAGGAAAATGTATAGCCTTAATACAGTTTAATGAGCTGAACATGGACATTTAAAAATTAGCAAAAGAACAACAGAATAACACCCCCTCCCCCCAAAAAAAAACACACACAAAAGAAGGATTTAAGACAGATAAAAGTAGAAATGAATAAACCAGAAAAAATATATAATTGAGGGGAGCCAGAAATACTTTCTTTGAAAAGAATAATACAATAGACAAACTTCTAGCAAGATTAAGAAAATAAAAGAGACAGAGACAAGGCACAAATAAGCAACATGAGGAATTAAAGAGAGGGCAAAACGGCAGATACCACAGAGATTAAAAAAAATAAGAGAGTACTATGAACAATTTTATGTCAATAAGTTTGAAATGAGCAAGTTCTCATTGAACTATCATATCCCAAAACTGACTCAAGGAGAAATAGAAAACCCAAATAGACCTATAACATTAAGTAAAGTCACTCTTGGTTTAAAGAATGAGCTTGCTCACTTCTTATATTTCTATTAAAGAACAAGGAGGAGCCTGTCCCCTCGGTATCCTAAATGAGTTAAGAGAGCGGTGACGAGATAAGACTTTGGTGCATGATTTTTAAGTTGAGAAAGCTCTGCCTGGAATGCGCTCCAGGCTGTCCTCCTCCTCTCGACCCTATGAAGCCACAGCAGCTCTGAGGACTGTTAATGCTCAGATAAAGGAAGTAAGTGTCCTGTCTTCAGGCAGAGAGTCAGAACAGGGTGGGTAATACCTTGTTCTTTCCTGGTACCACATTTTCTGGGGGATAAAGGGAGCCCAAAATCCTTGCCCTGTGCCATCTCTAGGTGTCTTTCTATTCCACTGTAATCAATACAATTACCAATACAATCATCTGGGGCGCGGAGGGGACAGGGGTGAGGGCCATTGGCCCCCTCTTCTCCTCACCTCCCACGCGCCCACCACCCTGAGCACCTCCCAGCCCTCAGGTGGACCAGCCACTGCTAGTCCCCACTCTGAAGAACAGCCCATTCACAAAGAAAGAAAGAAAAAAAAAACCCCTCTAATTTCATCAAGTCTTAAAAACTGTGACCTCAGCCTTGTCCCTTCCCTCCCTCTGGGGCTCAGTTTCCCCCCGCGTGGGGAGGCCCCAGCATTACCGAGTCTCCAGACCATCAATATATTCTTTCTTCTTCTTCCTGCTTTCTTGGGCTGACTGTTTGTTCCGGATTTTCCGGCGGATTTTCTTCAGCACTCGCTCTTCATACTGCCAAGAGAATTGGAGGGGAGGCTGGGGTCCGTGTGGATGGCGTCCTCACCCCACAACCTCGCCCCATTCTCCTCCCATGTAAGCCGTCCCAGACCCAGAGAATGGGTGTATGGGGAGTGGAGATGGAGCAGATTCCTGATGACTCAAAGCCCAGCTCTTCTCCCCCTAAATTCTTGCGGAGTCTCTAGGAGGCTCCTGGGTTCTGATAGTCTTCCCAGCTCCCCGTCCCAGTTATTAACTTGTTACCAGACTTGGGCATTGGTGCAACGGCGCCACCTTGTGGCCATATCTGGGAACAGCCCCTTTCCCTGGGGTCGGCCAGTGTTGAGGGCTGTCAAGTGGATTCCAACTCATAGCGACCCCATGTGACAGAGTAGAACTGCCCTATAGGGTTTTTCTTGGCTGTAGTCTTTACGGGAGCAGATCGCCAGGTCTTTTCTCCTGCAGCGCAGCTGGTGGGCTTGAACCGCCGACCTCTCAGCAGCTGAGCACTTAACTATTGCGCCACTAGGGTTCCTTCAGTAAAGATTACAGGCAAGAAAACCCTATGGGGCAGTTCTACTCTGCCACAAGTGGGGCGCTATGAGTTAGAATCGAGTCAATGGCACCCAATAACAGCAACACGCGCAGGTAGCTGCAGGAAAGAGGGAGAGACCCAAAGCCAGGCACCCCACTGGCTCACCTTGGTGAGGGGCAGCTGGGTGGACAGGGTGATGCCTTCTTTGGCAAGCAGCTTCTTCTCGTCCTCTGTCAACACCAGCTCCTGGCAGTGCCCGGCTCCAGGTCGTAGCAGGTGAGGAGCTGCCAGGTGGTGTTGCTATGGAGAAACCAAGGCAACTGTGTTGGAGACAGGAAGACTTACAGCCCCGAGCTAGGAAGGCTGAGCCTCCAGGAAATAAGAGAAACATCCGATTTGAGGAACGATCAATCAATCCACTACAGAGTCCCCATTGGCAATAGGACCCAAAACAATCAGCGCACAGCCCTCTGGCCCAGAAATTCCGCTTCCGGGAATTTATGCTACAGATAGTCTTATAAATGCACAAAATGGTGTACGGACAAAGTTGTTCGTTCTTTTGCTAGATAACCATTCAGCAACCATTTATTGAGCGCCACTATGCGCCAAGGGGGCATCGGCGGTGCAGTGGTAGAACTCTTGCCTGCCAGGTGGGAGTCTGGGGTTCAATTCCCAGCCAATGCACCTCACGCGCAGCCACCGCCTATCGGCGGAGGCTTGCAAGTTGTTAGGAGGCTGAACTTCCATACTAAGACAGACTAGGAAAAAAGGCCTGGCAATTAACTTCTGAAAATCATTCAATGGATCACAACGGTCCAGTCCACACGTGATCATGGGGATGACGCAGGAACAGGCAGCGCTTCGTTCCACCGTTCCACCGTGCATGGAGTCGCCGTGAGTCGGGCTAACTCGAGGGCGGCTACCAGCAACAGCGACTACTCCTAGTGCCCCTGGCCCAGGGGATTGGAGCCCACTGGCTTGCTTTGGGCGTGACCAAGGGCAAATTCTAGCCCCTCTCTGTGACTCAGTTTTCCATCTCTGAAATGGGGGGATTGAGTGGAGCTCCACGAACCCCAGCAACCCTCCCAGCTCCAATGTTCCAGGGAGTTGGGGGTAGGGGACACTCACTAGGTCCCTACTGTTGCTGGAGAGGAGGAGTTCCTTCACCGTGAGGTTGTAGTGTGGGGGCGAGTCTGACAGCTCGGCCGGCTTCTCAGGATAGAGCCATCCTTGTGGGTTCCACATGTCTGGTCAGGGCGGTTGGGGACAGAGACAGAAAGGGTGTCAGGCGGGAGGCCTGCACTCTCAGCTTCCCCCGCCTCCTCCTCCAGGAAGGCTGCCATGATTGAGCCCCAGCTCCCACCTCCTCCTTCTCCTCCAGGAAGTCTCCTTGATTGAGCACTCAGCTCCCTCTTCCTCCTTTTCCAGGAAGGCTCCCTCACTGAAACCCAGCTCCCACCTCCACCTCCAAGAAGGCTCCCTTGTTGAGCACCCAGCTCCCACCACCTCCTCCTCCCAGAAGCTTCCCTGACTGAGCACCCAGCTTCCCCTTCCTCCTCCTCCAAGAAGGCTATCATGATTGAGCCCCTAGCTCCCACCTCCTCGTCCTCCAGGAAGGTTGTCATGATTGAGCCCCAGCTCCCACCACCCCCTCCTCCTTCAGGAAGGCTCCCTCACTGAGCCCCCAGCTCCAACCCCCGCCTCCTCCAGGAAGATTCCCTGATTGAGGCTCAGCTCCCACCTCCTAATCCACGAAGGCTCCCTGATTGAGCCCCCAGCTCCCACCTCCTCCTCCTCCTTTAGGAAGCTGCCATGATTGAGCCCCAGATCCCACCGCCACTTCCTCCTCCAGGAAGTCTCCTTGATTGAGCCCCAACATGCTTAGCACTTGGGGGCTTGCCTTTTAGCAGAACTTGGGGTCTCCAAGGCCTGAGATGAAAAGGCCAGCCCCAATAAGTGCCTCAGTTTCCCCTCTGCTATACAAGGGGAACCTAAATCCATCAGGGCATGTCTCAGTCTGTCCCACAAGATCAAAGGAGGAGCAGGGACATTGCCACAGGACCCACTGCCAACCCCAGAGGGAGTGGCTGTTACTGAGGCCAGGCCTTATCTCCCCCGTGGGGCTGGGATGAGGTCTGATTCAGCCCGACTTCCTCCTCCCTGGTGCCTGGCACCCAATAGGCAGCTTAAGAGCATGTAATCCAGACTGGGCTGAACTGTGTGACCCTGGGTAAGTTACTGCCCCTCTCTGAACTTTGGTCTCATCAACTCTACAGTAGAACCAGAGATTCCACCTCATATGCAAGGCTCGAGGGACAAAGGATGCCCCAGGGACCACGCATCTCCAGCCAGGGGCTCTGTGCCTGGTACACCATGGGTGCTCAACCAGTGCTCCTGGTGTAAATCATTACTGATATTCTGGGAGCATCTTCTGCAAGAGTCCCCATTCCCCAGCTCCAGGGGGGGCGCCCTGAGGCCCAGGACCCCTAAACGTCTCACACTTTCATTGAACATCTACTATAAGCCAGGTATAGGGGACAAAGATAAGGGAGACACAGCCCTGCCTCCTGGGGTTACATGGTCCCCGGTGTCTGAGCCAGCCTGCCTGGTTATACCCCAGCTCTGTGATTCTGGTTCTCACCTCACGGGGACTCAGTTACACCATCTGGAAAAGGGGCCCACAACAGCATCCACCTCACAGGGCAGTTATGAGCGTACAGCGTCCAGAAGAGAGTGAGCGCGGTGGGCAGACACACAGCAGAACTTACCCAGGTCTATGGCCACGGAGGCCTCGAGCACTGGGGTCACTGGCCCGGGGGGCCTGGCAGGGCAGGTGTGGCCTGGATGATAGGAGGGGCACAGCCCCTTGCCAGGCTCAGTGGGATGGCAGCCAGCGAGGGTGGTGGAAGACCCGTTTTGTGGAGGGGTGTCTTGGGGGTCAGAGGGCAAGTCTTCGGACATGCCGCTGTCACTGGCTGCGGGGGACCAGAGCGGGGAGCTGGGCACCGAGTCTCCGGAGCCCAGGATGGAGGTGAGGAAGTCATCAGCGTTGGGGCCAAGCTGGACCTGCTGGGTGGGGGCAGCAATGAGGAGGGAGACCTCCAGTCTGGTGCCTTTTCTGCTCTAGACACGCTGTGTGACGCTGTGGATGCCTCTGTTGTCCTTCCTGCAAGACGGAGCTCATGCCCCTTCCTCTCAGGGCCAGCTTGAATTTGGCCTCGAGCTTGAGCTCCCGCTTGGGCTTGAATGCGCTAATGTAGCACGGCACCAGCAAGGCCACGTTGAGCACGAGCCCTGAGTTTGAGCCTGACTCCAACTCCAAATCGCTGTGTGACTCTGAGCAAGTGACTGGCCCTCTCTGGGCCACAATTTCCCGCCCCATAAGAAGAGCCGATGCTACCTGCCCATTGGAGGAGGTGAGTGGTTCAATGCAATAACATGTTTGAGGCATAAAGGCTGAGGAGGCCAAGGGGAGTTCTGACCTTCCCAGGGCCTCAGTCTAGTGTCTGGAGCCCGGTGGCCTGGGGGAGTCTGGAGTAGGGGCCTCACCTGGTCCTCGGGGTAGTCCCAGTTCTTGCCCAAGTCTACGTGTCTTAGGATGCCGTCCTGACGGTCAAAAAGGAGATCCAGGAGCTCCAGGCTGTCCATGGGGCCCGTGGGACAGGTGGGCGAAGTCATCTGGGGCACGGAGGGGACGGGCATGAGGGCCATCGGCCCCCTCTCCTCCTTACCTCCCATGCGCCCACCACCCTGAGCACCTCCCAGCCCTCAGGTGGACCAGCCGCTGCTAGTCCCCACTCTGAAGAACAGCCCATTCACAAATATCAAGAAGTAAGCTCCGTGCAGGAGTCCCCGGTGGCACAAATGTTTAAGTGCTCAGCTGCTAACCGTAAGGTTGGCAGTTTGAATCCACCCCAATGGCTCCTTGGGAGAAAGACCTGGTGATCTGCTCCCATAAAGATTAACCAAAAACCAAACCCACTGCTGTCGAGTTGATTCCCACTCATAGCAACCCTATAGGACAGAGTAGAACTGCCCTGTAGGGTTTCCAAAGCTGTAAATCTTTACAGAAGCCTTCTCCTGAGGAGCAGCTGGATGGATTCAAAGCGTCGACCTTTAGGTTAGCAGCAGAGCACTTTAACCACCACGCCACCAGGGCTCCTTTCCGTAAAGATTTCAAATCAAAACCAAACCTGTTGCCGTGGAGTCGATTCCGACTCACAGCGACCTTATAGGACAGAGTAGAACTGCCCCATAGGGTTTCCAAGGAGTGGCTGGGGGATTCAAACTGCCGACCTTTCCATTAGCAGCTGAGCACTTAATCACTGCGCCACGAGGGCTCCTTTCTGTAAAGATGACAGCCTAGGGAACCCCACAGGGCAGTTCTTCTCTGTCACATGGGGTCACTATGAGTTGAAACAGACTCCAAGGCACCCAACCACAGCAAGATCAACACAGTCCATTCCCGTGAGGCTGGTGAACTCACCCTCCGAGGCCTGCCTGAGATCCCCCTCCTGGGAGGCAGGGGTACCTAGAGGAGGTGAGCTGCCCCACACGGGAGACGAGATTTCGGGCATGGCTTTCTCTCTCTGGGCCTCAGTCTTCCCATCTCTTCAATGGGGGTAAGCTCACCTTTCCAAAAGCTGCTAAATCTCCATTCATGAAACCAGCTCTTCCACCTGCCGCTTTCCAGGTCTCCGCTTGGAGGTGGCACTCACCCCACAGCCAGCGCGCAGGGCCCAGCTCACTCTTCCCTGTGGCTCTGCCACCACCCCCAAGGATGCTGAAATAGTCCCCAGGCGCTACCAGCCCACCTCCGGGTGCCGATTGGCGGGCAGGGCGAATGGACAGGGTTAAGGGCCAGTGACATGGGGGCAGGCTAGGGGAGGGGACACAATTATCTCTGTGTTTTGTGCTTTTCCAGCTGGCAGTGGGCAAAGGCCAAAGTCTGGGGTGCCTCAGCTCTGCCTTGACCTCTGCTCTACTTACGGGAGTTTCTCTTCTGTCACCGGACATTGGGTTCCAGGGTGGCCCAGTGCCCCTGGACGGTCCGTCTACTCCCAGGACAGGAGAAAACGAAGAGAGCCTTCCAGGCCTTTGTTGGAGACATTCTTTCTGCTGGGAATGCCCTTCCCCCATCCAAGCTGTCAACCTTCTACCCACCCACCCCCAAGTCCTCCATGGCCAAATCCCCACAATCAATTCCTTCTAGAATCTTCTATCGTTCATTTAGTCAACAAGTATTAATTAAGCCAAACTTGTTCCCACCTCATGGCCTTTGCACTTGCTGTTCCCTCTGCAAGGAACTCCTCCAGCTGAACCCCCACCGCCACCCTGCCCCAGCTCTGTTCCTGTGTGGCTGCATGCATATAGCTTGTTATTTGCTGTGGGGTCAATTCTGCTTCATGGCGACCCTGTGTGTGCAGAGTAGAACTGTGCTCTATAGGGTTTTCAAGGCTATGACCTTTCAGAGCAGATTGCCAGGTCTTTCTTCCTGGCCTGTCTTAGTCCGGAAGCTCTGCTGAAACCTGTCCACAGTAGGTGACCCTGCTGGTATTTAAAATGCCAGTGTCATAGCTTCCAGCATCAGAGCAGTACGCAGGCTACTCGAGCAGGACATACTGACAGACAATGTTGTTGCTGTTAGTTGCTGCCAAGTCATTCCGACTCATGGTGACCCCATGGGATCTTTTGTATGCAGATCGACAGGCTTTTCTTCCGAGGCACCTCTGTTGTTATTGTTAAGTACCATCGAATTGGTGCCGACTCGTAGTGACCCTATACACCACAGAACGAAACACGGCCTGGTCCTGCACCATCCTCACAATCATTGTTATGCTTGAGCCCACTGTTGCAGCCACTGTGTCAGTCCATCTCATTAAGGGACGTCGTCTTTCTCACTGACCCTCCACTTTACTGAGCATGAGGTCCTTCTCCAGGGACTGCTCCTTCCTGATAACGAGTCCAAAGTATGTGAGACGTAGTCTTGCCATCCTTGCTTCTAGGGTGCGTTCTGGCTGTACTTTGTCCAAGATGGATTTGTTCATTCTTTTGGCAGCCCATGGTATATTCAATATTCTTGGCCAACACCATAATTCAAAGGCGTCAATTCTTCTTCAGTCTTCCTTATTCATTGTCCAGCTTTCACATGCATAGGAGGTGGTTGAAAACACCATGACTTGGGTCAGGCGCACCTTAGTCTTCAAGGTGACATCTTTGTTTTTATCACTTTAAAGAGGTCTTTTGCAGCGGATTTGCCTGAAGCAAGTTAGAGACGCCTCTAGGTGGGTTCAGACTGCCGACTTTTCAGCCAGTAGAGAAGCGCTTAAGCCTTTGTGCTGCCAGGGACTCCTGCGCACAGCTTACTTCTTGATATTTGTGGGTGGGCTATTCTTCAGAGAGAAGACCCCACCCCCAACCCTGTTCCTCTTTATCACATCCTTGTGTTAACTGAGCCACTCACACTGTTGGAAATTGTCTTCTTTATTGTCTTCCTTCCCTCCCCCACTCCCAGCACGTGAACTCCTTCTGGTTGCTGTTGCGGCTGTGCGCCGTGGAGTCAATTTGGGGATTTGATTTTGACTCCTAGTGACCCCATGTGACAGAGCGGAGCTGCCTATAGGCTTCCTAGCCTGTAATCTTTACTGGAGCAGATTGCCAGCTCTTTCTCCTGCAGAGCTGCTAGGTGGGTTCGAACCACCAGCCTTTAGGTCAGTAGCTGAGTGCTTAACCATTGCGCCAGCAGGGCTCTTTGTGAATGCGTTATGGGCCAGGATAGAGTCTGCCTTGTTCACTCGGGATCCCCCATGTCTGGGAAATTGCCTGGTACACAGTAGGTGCTCCATCGGCTCTTACTACATTGAGCCTTCTATGTGCTTGGCACAAGGCGAGGTTTAAGTGGGGATGAAAACACTCTCCTTACTCTCAAGAAATTCACATCCAGGTTGACATTTCTCAAAGGACCAGCTGTCATTACCAGTGTAACAAGAATTTAACGAGGGCCTAGTATGTGTCAAGGAGTCCCCGGGCAGCCCAAACGGTGAATACGCTCAGCTGCTAACTGAAAGGTTGACTGTTTGAGTCTACCCAGAGGCACCTCGGAAGAAAGTTCTGGCGATCTACTTCCAAAAAATCAGCCTATGAAAACCCTATGGAGTACTGCTCTATTCTGACACACGAGGTTGCCATGAGCAGGAGTTGAATCAGCAGCAACTGGTGGTAACTATATGGTAGGCCCAAGGTTGGATAAAAGAAATCCAACAATAACCCGTTATAGCAGCTGCCCTCCAGAGGACCTTGGTGACATCTGGAGCCATTTCTGGTTGTTGCAACTGGGTGGCCGGGTGCTACTGGCATCGAGTGGGACAGACCAAGGGTACTTGACACTCAATGCCCTCTAGTGCACCCCCCACCGCGAACAATGATCTGTCCTCAGGAAAGCTGATAACGGGGAACCCAAGGTCGAGAAGGGGAGAGTGCTGACATGTCGTGAGGTTGGCAATCAATGTCACGAAACAATACGTGTATTACTTGTTTAATGAGAAACTAATCTGCTCCGTAAACTTTCATCTAAAGCACAATAAACATAAATTAAAAAAAAAAAGAATGATCTGTCTCCAAATGTCAGCAGTACCAAGATAGAGAAAATCTGTCACAGTAACTGTCCCTTCTATTTTTGTTTTTTTTTTTTTCCCCCAACTGCCCTCAAGTCGATGCCAACTCATGGCAACGCCATGTATGTCAGACTAGGACTGTGCTTCTTAGGGTTTTCAATGGCTGATTTTTCAGAAGTAGATTGCCAGGCCTTTCTTCTGAGGTGCCTCCGGATGGACTCGAACCTCCAAGCCTTTGGTTCATAGCCAAGCACATTCACAGTCTGCATCACCCAGGGACTCCCCCACCCTTCTGGTTACTGGCATAACTATCTCACTCTCGCCCTCCGGGTGTCTTGCTTCCTTTTCAGCAGCTCTCTGTGGGATTTTTCGGGAGTCTGTTTGGTTTGGCTGAGCTTTACTGATCCCAGTCACAATATTTATTCAGCACTGCAGCGCAGGCATTTTTCCAAGGCAATCTCTATGTGAGTTTATAAACTAGCCAAGTCTGACTTCTGGACTTCTGTTTCCCCTCTCCCTCCCCCTCGTTTATGGCTCTCAGGAGCTCTGGTGCCTTAGGGACCTCGGTCTCTTCCTCTTATCAAAACCTGCCGGAAGAAAGGATATAACATCAGTCATTTGCACCTTGATAGGGATTTGTACCACCTCTGGTCTGTCAGTTTGTTGTCCTGTGGTGGCTTGCAGGTGGCTGTGATGCTGGAAGCTGAACATGTACATAGACCAAGAGGCAGCCCTTGGGACAGAACAAGGGGATACTATATGGTTTAAAATCAGGAAAGGTGCGCGTCAAGTTTACAGTCGTTCACCATACTCATTCAGTCTGTACGCTGAGCTAATGATCCGAGAAGCTGGACTGTATGAAGAAGAATACCGCATCAGAACTCAGGTCTTAAAAGCTTGCCAGTGGCCATCTAACATACAACTATTGGTCTCTACTTGTCTGGAGCAAAAGAGAAATAAGGGAACCAAACACTCAGAGAAGGAAGTAGTCTACAGGACTAAGAGTCAACATGATCCATGGTCTCAGCTACCCTGAGACCAGAGGAACTAGATGGAGCCTGGCTACCATTACCAACCATTCTGATCAGGGCCACAATAGACAGATCCTGACGGAATAAGAGAAAACTGTGGAACAGAATCGCTAATTCCTTAAAAAAAAGAAAAAAAGACTTCCTGGACCAGTTGAGACTGGGAGACTCCCTGAGACTATAGCCCTGAGATGCTCTGTAATCCTTGAACCAAAACTAGCCCCTGAGTTCACCTTGTAGCTAAATAATAGATTGGCTCACAAAATGAAGAATATCTCCCGTGAGTACTGTGTTCCTTTAAAAAATCGTCTATATGAGACCAAACAGTTAACAACTACTTTAAAACAAAGATGAGAATGTAAGGCGGCAGGGAAACTAGATGAATGGAAATGGGACAACCAGAACGGAAATATTGAGGCTATTCACGCATTGTGAAGAATGTAACCAAAGTCACTGAACAATTTCCTTAGAAACTGTTGAATGGGAACCTAAACTTCTGTATACATCTTCACCAAAAACACAATAAAATATTATTTTAAAAAATATCCATCAATGGGGGATTATTTGAGAGTTGGATATGCTCATATCAAGAATATTATGTAGCTATGAAAATGAGTGGCAATTTCCTCTATGTACTGATATGGGACCATTTCCCAAATACAAGGTGAAGTCAATGTTTCTTACCTTTTTTTTCATTATTGTCCCCCTAACGAGTGGTCCAGTGGTAGAATTCCCACCTTCCATGCAGGAAACTCACGTTCAATTCCCGGCCAATGAACCTCATGCGCAGCCACCACCCGTCTGTCAGTGGAGGCTTGTGTGTTGGTAGGATGCTGAACAGGTTTCAGCAGAGCTTCCAGACTAAGATGGAGTAGGAAGAAAGACCTGGTGATCGACTTCCAAAAATCAGCAATGAAAACCCTATAGATCACAAGAGTGCAATCTGCCACTGATCATGGGGATGGGGCAGGACTGGGCAGCATTTTGTTCCATTGTGAGCTGGGGCCAACTCCATGGCAGC